TCGGGATATTGCGACTTAAATAGGACATCCTGAGGATGTTTTGTGCTATGGACGAGATATGGTGGAAAGACGCATCCGACAGCACTCTCCCCTTCCATCTAATTTACAAGATCTAAAAGGGTGCATAGCCAGTGCATGGTATTCTCTGGACTTTCAAAAGTTTTGTCATCTGATGATGTCAGAATACAATAGATATTTCACCAAATCAGGTAGAATAGTTGCATTTCATATTTTGAACATCTCGTATTTGGATGTATCTGAGCACCTCTCGGAAAATTTTCAGAATGTCTGCAAGAAACTATAAAAAAATAGTAAGCAAGTCGAGAAAGGGCGACAATTCATATTTTGAACTACTTAGGCCCATATCACACGACGTTTGTTTCACTCGGACAATTTGTTTCACTAGTTTACTATTGAAAGAAAGACGTGCGACTTTTTCCTTCCTTTCCAAAAAATTGCAAGTTGTTCGTTTTCAACCAATCAGCTATCAGCTTCGAATGCTATCAGCTTGTTTGTAATGGGGAACCAGTTTCTCCTGGTGTTAACCCCAAAGCGATCTATGGTGATTGGCTGTTGTGACAAAGCAGAAAAATTGTTCCAAACAGTTGTTCTTCCGCAACAAGCCGCCGTGTAATATCAACCTTATTTTCCATGTGTTTTTTAACCCTTTGCGACACGCATATTTAAAATATATTTTAATCTTTAAAAAAATGCCTTAGAATAAGTCAGATGGACTTACTTAAGTGCCTTTAAGGCTTGAAAAAAATTCTGCGCTTTTTTATTTTTTACGGTGGAAGGTGGGATAACCGTTTGTCCCACCATGCAACTAGCAAATGTCTTATAGCATATTGGTGGTATAGCAGGGAAAAAAAATTATATGTGGAATGAATAAACAAATAAAGCGTGCATTCTAAAATATTCATAATAAACACACTAAATGCATTTTGTACTTATTGCATATATGCATGACTTGTAAAATTTGCATATGCACATTTTGCATGTAGTATATATTTTATATTTTTAAATTTTAGGAACAAAAGAAAATATTTTCCTTGAATATTATTTTAAGATTAAAATTTGATACTCGTACATATGATACTAAATAAAATATTAAAATTGGCACTTGATTCAAAAACATTTATATATGATTAAAAATTGAAAAAAAAGTCATTTTTCATAAAACTTTGAAAAAATGTTGTTTCATTCTTTTGTAAGTATGGAGGCACTTCACATGTTTCACACATCCAAAATGTTCGGTCGTTCTTCTTTCGATGTGCTGCAATATGCACATTCTTCTCCTGCTCCGTTCTCTTCTGGTGTTGTAACTTACATTTTTTAGTGTCTTTTCTGGTTGTACGAACGGGTTTTTTAGTTTTTATTTGAACTGGGGATTTCAGTTCATCTTTTCAGCTCTTTCTTGCCTGCAAAGTGCCATTAGACCTTCTATAACTGAGAGAAGAAAACCTTTCATTGTTTTTACAATCATGATCGGGTTCGCGAACAAACTTAAATAGAATAAATGTGTTTACTATACTCGCATCTAAAAAGTAAAAAAAAAAAAAAAATCCATGTGCCATCATTTCTTGCTTTTGCGGTCTATTTCATATAATCCTTTCAGTTGATCAAATAAGTCGACATATTCCCATATTCTTATGTATGAAATAATGCTGTTTGGGCACAGTACTTTTTTTGTTGTTGTTGTTGTTATTGTTCTTTCCATCTCGTTCCTTTCTATTAATTTCTTTCATTTCAGTTTGCATTTTCCAAGCAAGACAGGATAGAAACGGATCTTTTATCCTTCCATTTATGCAATAAATTGAATCATCGCTAACTGAAAAGTCTATATCCTTTGACATAAATTTGTCTTTAAATTTTTGGGTAGATACTTCCGATCCATATTTACAGTGCCACATGCATAGATGGGTCTGTGTCTTTAAAAAGCGAAACAAATTATGACTACTTCCCTTTCTTCTACAGCAATAACTTCAACATCAGCTATTCTCTCTGATTTCAATTTCTGAATTCAGAAACTGACATCTGAAGCATTTGAGTCGCAATCGGATGGCAATTCAGCAAAAAGATCCAAAGCTTTCCTGAGTTGTTAATATTTCTAGACATTTTAGGCACATCAAGAGCATACAACGGATGTAAAAGCGCCCGCAATCACGAAAAAAGGTAGATGCAAAAAAGAAAAGAAAAAATAATCGTAAGTGCTGCCATTCTATTGAGCGGAAATTCAAGTGTGTGGATGGGAAGAATTTTAACCCACTTATTTCAACCGGAAAATTAATGTTAAAAAATATTGAATCCAATTAAGATTTTTGAAAATAAAAGTACTTCTTCGAATATTAAAAAAGAATCATACATATCATAAATTGTATACCAAATTTTTAAAATATTGAAAAATGCGAGATACAGGGATATCACTCTTGTGATCCTATTTTTGAATATTTTTTGCTTATAAACTTAGCCCTGGTATAGTAGTAACATCTACTGAGAAAAATAATAACTAAAATAGATTATTTTTAAAAGATTAGAAAATTTCTAACGGAAATTGCTAACTGAGAAAATAAATATTAATTAGGTGGGACATATATTGACCCACCATGCCGCAAAGGGTTTTAAAGCAGTCTCATATAGGAGCATCATTTCGTATTGATACATTGCGATAAATATCAATACAAATTTTAAATAATTTTACCCCACATTAAATGTGTCGTGACTTTTTCTGTTTTATTCGATAATAAAACATTTCTCTATTTTTGTAGTTCCGAGAGCCTCACACTCGTGGCAGTTCGCATGGCCAAAGCCGTCTCATACGTTCCGCCTACGAAGAAGAATGCTTTGCCCGGATGATGCCATCTGCTTTTGATATGTGGAGAGAATTAGAACAGAAGACTGGAAAAGAACTCATTGTGTAAGAATAAACATAGATATTTTGCCGCATTGGTAGAATCTATTGAAAATTATGCTCATAGGAATGATAATCATGAAAAATAAATAAACAAATAAAACAGAAGTTTGAATTGCTTAAATATAATAATTAGGAATGTAAATCACTCTGCTTTTAAAAGGATCTAAGTAAAAAAAAAAAAAAAAAAAAGCTAGCATTTATACATTTGAATTATAACTGAAACCTGGAATGGCGATGAAGGCGGTCCGAGAAATCTGAGTATGGTAACGAATTTAAAGAAGCTGTTATGGACTGCCGACAACAAATTTCTTTTTAACTTATGAAGACTGGCCGCATGCTGCTGGCTTCAGCATGCGGCGGCCGCGAAGAGTGTTGTTCAGCAATTTCTTGGGTTCGAAATCCAGTTAAAAGCTGTATTCTTTCGAATTTCTAAAGCAGAAGGCTAAGTTAATTTTTTATTCGACCAAATTTTTAAGTGTCTATTAAATAATTAAAAAAAAAACTAGTGCATTAAAAACTATATGAAATTTTGAATGTGTTAATTTCTTATCAGCAGCAAAGTTAATATGTACCGATATTTCAAACCTCAAAATTAAAAAGTTAGAATTTATTGTCAGGAACTAGTTTAAGTATTTCTTAAATAGAGGTATATAATAGGGTACTTTTCTTTTATCAAGACCGGGTTCAGAAATGTATATATGTATGCAAATATATATGTACGTACGTATATATAATGCATACAGACATATATATATATAATGCAATAATCCGAACTTGAAGATAAACAGATTTTACTTGCAGTGCCGTAATAATCCAAACTGATAATAGATGAACTTTAATTGACCTATGTAATGGTACCAGAAACGTAACATCTGTCACATATGAAATTAACATGTATTCAGAATCTTTGCAGTAGGAATTTAGATATATATTCAGTCACATAGAAACCATGGCTAACACCCATTTCATGACTGAATAAGACATGGGGAGGAAGTAAACATCTAAATGCATCGGAAAAAAACATTAATTATTAATCTACGAAATGCTTGGAGGATCAAGTAGGATTTGGTAAGGATGAAAAATGTTCAGTTATTTTTTTCCCACTGAAATTCATTGCTTGGTCGACCCCATGTGAGTCTTCTGTTACATGTCTCGGTGTAAAAAATGGCTGAAAAAACTTGCACCTAGCGTCCTCCTAAATTAATGGAATTTTTGTTTCCTTCTGGCAAAATGTTCGACTAAGAATACAAGCTTCATGATGGACGAAAGCCAATAACGTTAACTTGTTAAGCATAGAAATAATTTCGCGAAGAAGCACCAAAGCTTGCTATTGAAAAATGTCACGCAGAATCGGCGAAGGAAAAAGTTCCAAACACCTCTCGCCCGCCTACATTTACGAGAGCTTCATACAAATGATAAGAAAAGTATGAGAATGAGCAACTCCGAAACAGATTATTTATATCCTTTTCAGTCGACGTTCGTTACTACACTGTCGAACTGGAACACAGAGTGAAAATGTTAGGGCTGGCCTTCGCAGTAAGAAAATCTTATATCTATATAAACTGTTTTTAAAGTAACGGTAGTGGGAATAATAGTGGATATTACCAAATCCTACTTAAAATTTCATTTTTTTTTACCGGTAATTAAGTACTGAGTACTTATATTAGCATTACTGCATACTTTTAGTGTTTATATACTGAAAAGTAACTCGAGTATATTTACTGTCTTTTAAATTTAGTATATGTAAGTGTTTTCAAGGTTAAAAAAAATATTTCCTCACTTTTGATAAAACCCATCAGTCATATTATTAATGCGTTTTTATTTTCGACAAACTGAGTTTTAATTTAAAATAGGGGGTCGCGGGAGGAAAATAACTAAAACATATATGGTATTTCTCCCGCCTTCTTAGCATGCCTTCGTGGTGTCAGCACGCCGGACGCGTATTCGAGAGGTCCGAGGTTCGAGTCCCGGCGAAGGCACGGCTCGTTTTTCATGTCTCTCCTGCTTCGAAATAAGTCAATTGCATATTGTAGAAAGTGTTAGTTTTTTTTTTTTTTTTTTTTTTAAACATGAAATTTGAAACTCTGCTGTAGCCGGGTTTCAAACCACGGATCTACCAGTTACTAGCTAGGCGTGCAAACCATTTACTTTACAGAGGTGCATATGGAAGTACGCAATAATTCCTTACATTTCAAGGGAAAGAAGCACGAGATCCAATTGAAATATTATTAACAAAATCCAGGCGGTGACTAGTTATATCAACCATATTCTATTTCGAGATCTAATGTACGGACTGTTATATGTTTCGAAGCAAAAAATATAAATAATCAATTATGCCTTGATGATGTTCGAACTATGATTTTTTTCCCCAGCTGCTGACTGGAAATTCTAACTGATTCCTTGAAAATTAACTAACTCCTTGAAATATAACTGAAAATCGATTAAAGATTGAAATGTTCCATAAAACACACCGGAACCTAATTGTGCATTAATATGAAATTCTTGCAGGAATACGGGAGTTTTGTGCTTGGAAGAATCTTTAGAAAGAGAGAAATACGAAAACTGCGTAAAACTTATGAAGGAAATTTGCCCTGAAAATCTCGAAGAGATGAGCCCTGCCGAAGTACAATCGAAATTTTCAAACAAGCTTAGTTATAAAAATCTGAGTGGGGCCTTGCTGGATAAAAGCGGAGGTGTAGTGCTTGCACACAAAGCTCTTCTCGCTGTTCAGGTGAGTATTACTATTAGCTCCTACACCTTAAAATGCGATTGCAGGGATCGTATTAATTGAAGCTGTATTTTTTGTTTCTCTCAAAGTTGTCTTGTAAAAACCGAGTTTTAATCAATCGATTTTCAGTTAATAATGTAGTTAATCAACTGAGATACAACTTCATGCCATAAACTGTTACAATTTCTATCATGACATTTTCTTAATTTTTTTTTTGTAAACTTTATTAATTTTCTAATAGTTTAATTTCAGTTTCACACTGTCCTGTTCTGGTTTTCCATCACATTTTTTGTTCTTCTAATCCAGAAATTTTATGCGAATTTCGGTTATGGGTGCGCGAATGAAGTTGAATATTGCGATTTCCTGGTTGCAACTTACGCCGAAATAAAATTAGACCCTTATTCCTTATGGCTTTGAAATTTTGTCCAACAGTGTTCGTTGACCATGAGCTGGTAGCCATTTCGTAAGTGAATGTTGAAACTGAATTCCTGTAAAATATTTCCAAGTTGATTTAGGCAGATTTAGGTTGATTAGACAAATACTAACTACATAAGTTAATTGTAACTTCCTTATTATCATTCGCCTACAATAGTATTTAAATGTAAAGGTAAATAAATATTGTAATTATTATATATAAATAAATAAACCTTTGAAAAAAATCACAGAAAATTCCTAAAAATAATCACAAAATCATTCACATAAAAACAGCGGACCAGTGACAGTCTGCTGGACAAGCGGTCGAGATTCCCTGATGTACCATACTGAAGCGCCACCTGTCAACCTCTTCACGTCGCTTTTCCTTTGCTCAAGTGGCAACAGCTGAGATAATCGGCATTCAATAACAATTGAATTTGGTTAAAAAACTTCGTTGTGATTTGCTTAACTTCTGTTTTCTTGTTAATAAAATTATTTAAAGAAGTTCGTTCTATTTTATTACGCTAATAATACATCTGACATTATTTAACAGACTTCAAAGAATAATAAGCCTTTCTCCATTGAAAACTAATATGTGTCATTCAATATGAGTACTCATTACCTGCAAATATACGCTCGTGGCACCACGGTAGGTCCTCTAGTACCAATAAATGTAAATTAAACAGGCAGCAACAGACACGCTGAAAAAGCTTTAGTCAATCTGTTGCGCGGCACGCATGATAACATACGAAGTTGCCAGATTTTTAATATTTTTCTTTAGTAAACGACAGTAAGTATACTTCTCCGTTTGGAAGGACCCGCGCATAGGTTTTGCGGACCGGCGGTTGATAAACACTATTCTATATAACCTATTGCTAACAAATCTAGCAGTTCATGGTGGTCCATATAAAATGCTTTGTCGAGCACATATTCTAACTGCTTACCATTCGAACTTTTAGCCATAGCTGTTAATTTTTGAGATTTTTTTCAAATACAAGGTAAATCAAAACTAATGGTACAGAAAGGAATCATACTAGTGACTATTTAAATGAAATTATTTCACAAATACCGCTAAAACATGAACACTATAACTCTCCATATTTCTATGGACATGCAAAGATGTTCGATTTGGAAGCCTTTTGTGATACGGCAGGCGTCCACACAACAGCTCCTGAGTTCTTGCCAAACAGGTGCACGGATCCACCTTATTCTATCTTTTAACTATTGGACCCTTAAAAGTGGTCAAATGACTTACAGTTTCGTCTTAAATTTCGAAGTAAAATAGCTCAAAGTTTAAATAAATATTTTCTGATTTTATTGTGAGCCTAACGTTTACAGAACCTGTGTACAGGAAATAAATCTGAAATGCAGTGTCTAACTATATGAGGATAATTTACAAAATAAAAGATACGACTTAAAAAATAAACGTTTACAGGACAACCTGTGTACAGAAAATAAGTCTGGAATGCAGTGTGTAACCATAGGAAGATATTTTAGATAATAAAGGACAAGACTTCAAAAGTAATTTTTTTACAGCGCTAAATTCCAGCAAAATTTCACATTATTGCTTGAAAATTGTAGTGATCAGCCAGTGGACAACAGTATAACTTTCCGTTAGGCTATTAAGCTTTCGTGAAAGACATGTCACATGTCTTTCACGATGATCGAAAATTAGGATGACAAAAAATATCAACAGGTTAAAGAAGTGCAATGCTGCCATTAGAGTCGAGGCGACAGTTGCAGCTGTAGTGAGCGGCAATACTAAAGAGTGAAAATTTTAGAAATACCGGGAAGCAAAAAGCCTAGCGGCGGCTCTAGCCTAGTGCGACATTTGCGTCAAACTAGAAAGAATAAAAGTTCATCAAACAATGTACGAGAAAATATATTTTCCTGTACATTGTTTGGTGACCCTTTTTTCTTTCAGTTAAAGAGATTTCATCAGCACAAATAGCATCTATTTTGACATAAACTTTGGAGAAGATACACGTCAGAGTTTAATAGGTCCCTTGTTGCTTGATACAACGTTAACGACATGAGAACTGGGTGATGAAAGTGAAAATTTTCTATCTCGAACAACAATAATTGATAAAATGTGAATTAAATATTTCTATTGGAATTGAAATTCTTGTCAATCCAGTGATCCTCTCTGCGACCCCAAACATTTCAGCATGCATAGTTGTAGAATCGTGTTCTCTTTGGCCACTTCAACTCTACTAGATCCTATTAAGGAACCTGGCGATTTCTCGCACAGGCGTAAAGGAAACCAACACAGAAGAAGGGTAAAAATAATCCTTTATTATTATTCCACGTAAAACACGTAACTGAAAAAAGGTGTAACAGAGAAGAAGGTTAACAGAAGTAAATTCAACGTAACAGAAAAAAGGCACGTATTTCGTGCTTGCAATAACACCGACAACTTGCGGTGGAACGTAAAAATCGTTACACAATAAATTCAAAAGCTAAAGAGTAGTGCTGGACTAGCACTTTAAGTTAAGGCTAACTAGGTTGATTCAACAACCTACCCGACGGGATAATTATTTCAGTGGCCAAGAGGCCGTATCAGCAACTCCGCGTAACAGCAAGGACAGACGACTCCTAACATGCGCTAGCTATTGAAAACACGCTCTGAATAAACTCCAAGATTCCCGCTTAAATACTTCCTTAGCTTTAAATTTGCATCCTTGCGAGGAAATGCGAGGGCAAGTTGAGGAGGTCAAAAAAGATAACACAAATTTGAATAATTGGTTAATTGAAATAAGGGAAATCCTACACAGTCATTTTAAATTACATTCAAGCCAGGCTTCAGCAATTACATTCAAGCCATTCAAGGGTTGAAGAATAAAGAAATGTGCTTTTGCACATTTCTTTATGATGAATAGAGAATCTTCCGAGTGGATCACAACTATTGTGAATAATAGGCTCATACAAAGGGAATGTAAGCAGAAACTGCCTGAAATAAAATTAACTTCAGAGAAAAAATATCAGAAAACATATTACTTTTTAGATTAACTTCGTATTTCTATATTTTGTGATATTCCAGTGATCATTACCTGCTCCAAACGTAACTAGCCCAGAAAAGTAATTTCCAGAAATGGGATTATTTGCAATTTTATTTGTTACTCTGACGATAAGTCTGAGGTGGAGAGTTATTTGAAATCGATTAAATTATTACGTACGTAATATAAGAAACGAAAAACCCACTTGCCACATTAGAATATATATGTGATTCTCCAAAAGTAAACGTTTGCTACGTCTTAGCCAAATGCAATGTGTTTAAGTCGTGCAGTCTTGAGATTTTTTGCCTTAGGGATATGTTACAAGATGTTCTTACTAATAAGAGTACTGTTTTCAGTTCATATTATGAGAAGTTCATTTAAAAGTAAAGTTGCAATATCTTTTCTCTGAAAGTAATCTCCGAATTATATGAAATGTTTAGTAATAAAATTCCCCAAGAGCTAGGGACTAGAAATAGTTATACCTAACTAGCCTTGTTAAAAGAGAAACGAATCACTAAAATTAAATGTATGTTAAAGTCTTAGACCCATTTATTCTTCCTTGGAACTCATAAACTTCAGTAGAACTTAATAAATTAAACTGATTTTAATTTTTATGCCAATGATTCTCAACCTGTTTTGCCCCATGCATCCCTTTTACCATTGGTAGAAGATCACCCCCCTTCCCTTATGAAACTCGAAAAATACATATATATTTATTTATGTTAAAAATTATATTTTAATCTGTTTTATAAATTAAGCAACAAAAAGTATTGGTACATAGAGCCATCGAATTTTGAATGGCGTAATCCTACTGCAAATATGGGCATGTGGAACCCCAAATTTGAACTTTGGAATTTGTTTTATTATCGATTTCATATTTTGTAGAACTTTAACGAATTTTTGAATAACAAACTCAACGATTTGAAAGCGAGCAATGGCAACAATCTACAGGGGGGGGGGGAACTTTTTTATCTCCAGGGCGCCGAACTGTGTATCGGAAATTATTAAAGATACGCTTGCTCATTTTTGCGACAGTGCTACTGAACTGAATTTTATGGTTTAAGTGCAAAGAACATGATATTTAATAAATAAATGTAACACACAAAACGTTAAAAAACGCCCCCTTGGACGTAATTTAAAATCTGAAACCTTTCAGATTTTTGTTTGTTTGTTTTTGTTTTAAGCAGGAAACGTGTAAAATGAGCAATGCCCTCGCCGGGACTCGAACCTCGGACCTCTCGAATACGTGCCGAGTGTGCTGACTATTACACCACGAAGGCATGCTGAGAAGGCGGGACAAATACCTTATATACTCCCCCTTTTAAAGGGCGACTGGGGATTAGGGGACCCAATCACCAAATCTTAGTGGTGGGGAATCATCATCCACCACCTTTTTTAGTTCAGGCACCACCGTAGAGACATTAGTTATTTTTGAAAAAAGAGAGATGAAAAAAGAGCATTGCCCTCTCCAAGACTCGAATCTCGGACCTATCGAATAAGCGCTAATTATACTGGCCATTACACCATGAAGGCATGCTAAGAAGGCGGGAGAAATACCTTACAAAATCAAAACAAAATTTTTAGCTTTTGGAGCTATAAGAAAGTAAAACGGAAAAAGTTCAGAAATCTTCGTATTTATAATTTCATTGATTTGGATCATGTAATCACCTGCTTTTGCACAAAGCATAGATGCATTTTCAGACTTTCGCATTGCAGGATTTGTTTCGTCAGCAAGGAGGTACTTTATGGGACAATTGTCAAGTGTATCAAATCATTCTAGAAGGAGACAAAGTGAAGGTCAAGTCTGCAAAAGGCGATGTCATAGTCCGTTCCGTTGTGGTTTGTGCAGGATCCTGGACACAGAAGTTGCTCACTCCTCAACTGATATCTTCTCTTCCCCTCCAGGTAGTGTTAATACTATAATGAATTAATTTCTTCCATTTTTCTCAATTCCAAATTATTAACTTACTCGAGCATTTACCAAAATTTATATAAATTTATATTATTAAAATAATATACATTATTATATAACGTATTTATATAATACATAATTATATAATATAAATTATTATATAATGTATTTATAATACTACATAATTATCTAAATAAATTATATACATTATATTAAATAACGTATTTAAATATAATACATAATTATATAATGTAAATAATATACATATTATATAATGTATCTATTTAAAATAATCAAATAAATTCTAAATGCATTGATAAAAATGGCAGGCAAGATTTGGGAGTACCTAAGAAAAAAGAAGGCACGTTCTGCATTCTGGGATTCTTTCGGATAATAGTGTATTAATATTGTTTAGTGAGATAGGAAACTTTGTCACCAATTTATCATAAATGCCAGATAATTCAACATGCTTATTATTTTATCTAAGGCTCCTTTATTATAAGTCTTTATTAAAATTTTACTTGAATTTAATATAAACACGGATTTGTTTTAGAAATGTTTTAAATATGGAAAAAAAATAAAATTCGATTTTTTGAATGTGTAAAGGTGATGACCTTAAACATTCTGATGGCGGTGGAGGACACTATTATTATTACTGTACAAAATATTTTATCATTTTCGAGTCCTTGATACTTAATAACCAATCAGGGGCGTCAGTTTGAATTTAACTTCTTTGTCGCTATACAGGATATTCCTTCTACACTTCATTATCCATCTTCCAGTGTTATTATCGAAAGATGTCACCGTACCTTGAAACAAGCATTAAAAGCATATGATTAAGTGTGATGATCGGAAGAACTGCCAGCCATCTTTCTCGGCCTATGTATTTCTCTGGAAATAAAAGAAAAAAAAGAGGTAGATACTCTTTGTGACGAAATGTTTTTCGAAACAACCATCAGCGTACCAGATAATTGCTTTCCACTGATGTTTAACAACTGCCTACGCACCGGATTAAACATTTGTATAAAGGCTAAAACGAACGATAGCAGTACTCGTTCCACCTCAAAACTTCCAAGCAGCTTACACTTTCACACTATTCCATGCTCTCGTAAATTTATCATCTTCCTCGTACGCTTTCATTCACAACTATAACACAAGGAGACTTCTTCAACCGTCTCAATATTAATCTTCTCAATCTTGCTTCCCTTTACAAAAGCATGGAAACATCTACCAAATTACTTAATCCTAATTCTGAGTCATCTTTTCCTCTAAACATCCCCAACCAAGCAGTATGGCAAATCAATGGAGAAATTCCAAGTCCTAAATATCAAACTATGCCAGTCCATTTCATATATAATTCCCACACGATTTGGTCATCATATCAGATTTAACTTGTGGTATTCGTAATCCATACTTCGCTCTGAAATAGCCTTGTGGCAGTTCTCTAATCTGAAGTAATTGCAATAGGCAGTGGATGGAAATTTGATCGACGAGGACAATCCCAGAAAAAAGGTCTCCTATATTTATAGATATACAAAGAACCGTTTATTTTCTATAATTGCTATATCACTTTAAAGATTGAAGGATGCTTTATTTTTCAACATAATCGCCATTTCGGTTGATGCATTTTTGTAGACGCTGTGGCAGTTTTACAATGCCCATGTCATACCCGCTTGCCGCCATGCCCTTCAGGAAGCATTGAACCTCATCTTTCACCTCATCATCGGAGCAGAACCACCGTCCAGACAAATGTTCCTTCAACTTAGGGAACAGGTGGAATACGCGGCACCCATCTTGCACACACCTTCCGATATTGCAACTTTTCCGTTAAAATCCTGTGGATGGTGCTTCTGGAAACCTCAGGAACCAAAATGCAGAGAGCATCCAGAGTGATCCTCCGATCTTTACGCATGAGTTCCTCAACTTTCGCGATTGTCTCGGCAATTGATGGCGTCCCGCTCCTTTCTTCGTCATGAATTTCAGTACATCTGGCTGTAAACTCTCTACACCACTTGCGAACGTTTTTGACATCCATGCACGACTGTCCATACACTTCCGTCAATAGGCGGTGAATTTCAACCGGTTTAACGCCTTTTGTGTTCAAAAATCGAATAACTGCGCGCACTTCGCACTTGGCGGTAACGTTTATCGGGAGCTCCATTTCGAATGGCTGCCAAGCCAAGAATGAGCATCCGTGCTTATGTGGTAGCAGAGAAGGCACCACTCACAACAGTGTTGCCAACAACTGTATTAAAACTTTCTCTACGTCCCCCAAAAATAGGAGACCTTTTTTTTGGGGGGATTGCCCTCGTAGCTCAGTGTGATTTGAATCACGAGCTCATTGTGATTATAACTGTATGAAACTAATCTTGTATATTGTATAAGTGATCGCAAAATATGTGTACCTGAATGGGGCTAATCTTGTATGTTTTATACGTTATCATGAAATACTGTGTACCACCAGAATGCATTTCGGTGTATAGTGATTATTTCATTCGATTACAACAAGCTAGTAACATCAAGATTTAAATTTTCTCCAAATCCTAGTTATAGAGAATGTGGAAGATAGTACAGATATACATTACGGAATGTGGAATAGATATAGAAAATTTGAACTACATCGTCTCATATAATTTAAATTTACTAATTTTCAATGCAACAGTAAAATAAGCTCTGGTGATATGAGCAAATAATTTAAAAATTGTAAGTCCAATCAAATTTCTAAATTCTTTCTCAACAAAATGTTCTTGTGTGACATTAAAAATTTTTGACCGAAACTGTTTCCAAATTTCGTGCAATTCTGCAAAGACAAAATCTGTTGCAGAAGTAAGTAAAAATTTGGAAATATATTTAAATACAATGCGTATGAGGAATTCGGGTTGCGGAAAATCCAACAGTGACACTGGCATCAGCATCCGATGGGAAAAGAGAAAGAGCCAAGGCAAAATTGACTTAAATTTTTAAGTTAATGGCGAGCACTTGCTTGTTCACCATTGTCCACTTCTAAGGCCAAAGGTGGTGGCCATTTTGTTGTGGAGGCTCCTATGAAGGGATGGACAGTTGTAAACATACCTTCTCTGGGATTCGAACTCACGCCCTTCGGTACCTCAATAGGCTCTCTTAACCACTATATAATCTCAGAGGCAAAACTGACCGTATTTGATGGCATATAAGACGCACTTTTTTTCCTAAATTTGGTCTTAAAAAAGTTTCTGCGTCTTATACGTGAAGGACACAGTCTTATACGTGAAGGTAATTGCATTCAATAATTGTTTATTTGACTTTTACGAAACGTGAGAACTAAAAGAAACCACGCTATTGAAACTTTTTTTTCCTTGTGTGTGGCCATCTAAATAAGGGTGCGTCTTATATGCCAGTGCGTTTTATATGCCGTCAAATACGGTAAATAGTCGAAAAAGAGAGAACGTTTGAATGGGAAGGTTGACGACAAGCAATGAAAGCGCACTAAGCAATGGGGAATGGAGGGCAAGGCGTCGTTTGCCAATTACAGGAACGAAAAGAATGACAAATTAAGTAACTTCACGAGAGACCTATTAAACCTCTCTGTATTTAACTGTGTTTTAACTGTGTTTCGTTGTACGCTGTCTGTTTCTTTCAGATTTTTTTAACCGGTAAAGTAACAATAACGCTGAGTGATTAGACTTCTCTAACGTAAATGACTAGTTTGTTTAATACACAAATAATCTGCGAGGATTTCTAATTCATTTTAAACTGTTATTTCCTATTTAATAACATTTATGTGAAACTCACCATAGATGGCTAAACAAATCAGTTGCAGCCAATTTGAATGAATGCAAAAAATTTTGAAGAAGCAATTTTTTAAAACTTTTCAGCCGACTGCTGTAAACGTATTTTATTGGAAGGAAAAGGTCAAAGGCGTCTACAGTGCCGAGTCTGGTTTCCCGGGTTTGCTTGAGCTTTCTAATCCTCCTATATATGCACTTCCTTCATTGGAATATCCTGGGCTCATGAAAGTAAGTGCCGTCCTTGTTTACTATCTAGGAATTTAAAGGCGTAAAATTATTTCATTACATCAGTATGAATTGTTCAGTATGAACAATTTTAAAATAAAAGAAATAAATTTTTGATTTGTATTTAGCTGTTTTAAAATAACTGCTTTATCAGTAGCACACAAAGCGAGAACAAAATGCAACATGTCATAAAGTTCTGCTCTGGCGTAAGAAAAGTGTATCGCAGAAGAAAGCAAGACTTTCATTTAATGATGAAAACGAAAACTGGCAATAGTAATGTGAACAAATGATGCACACTAAACCGATAAAAGAAAAAGAGACAGTTCTGTACTCCCTCTCCCTAGCTAGTTGATCGATCGGAGAAATTTGATTTAATTTGTCAAGCTTCAGAAGGACGAGTTAGGGCATATTCATTTATATAGTATATAACGTTAAGCTAGCACAAATTTCCCAAATTGTATTCCAATTATGAAATTGAAGTTAAGGAACAACGAAACATCGTCTGCTTTTATATATTGCTGCAAAATTTAAAACTGCTCTTAAAAGTAATTTAAACAGAAAACATAAACTTTAAACGCCAGTAACTGAAATAATATTAATAGGATTTTACAAAAATATAGTTCTCAAGCATAATTTGAAGCGTAAGTGCGATCAATATAAAAACTATATCACTCCAGAAAAACTGTAATTATGCGTTAAAAAATGTACACTAGCCGAGGCTTTCCCAAACTTTACTCATTGTTTTTTTCATCAGGTGTTATAGAGAAAACATAAAATAAAGTGGTTTAAATCGTGATCGTAGTAAATTTAGTTAATGTAGTAGATTAATAATTCTAGTTGTTATTTTTCGATCACTTTTCTACCCGTAAAAGCCTTTAAATTTTACTTGAAATTCGACTCACTTTTTATTAACTAGACTTAAAAATAGCTCACCCATTGGTCTTGTTGATATGTTTCCAACAATGATTGTTAGTTTTGCCATCAAATATCATTAACATATTATTCTACAAGTATTTGAGTCACCAGATATCGCAGATATGTCTGTTTTACAGCTGTTTGTGGCTATGCGTATAAAAGCAGCATTGAAGAAGATTTACTCTTTAGAGAACACCTAAAGAAAAAAAAAAGCAACTGGAGAAGATATATTTAATTGCGTTAATAATTATGTTTATGAAAATAAACTTAATTGGAAAAAGAGTACAGATAGTGCAAAAGCAATTTTGCGTAATATAAAGGGGCTTGCGGAGCGCATTTTAGTAGTAATTACAAAAAAAAAAAAAAAAAAAAAAAAAAAACAAGTTTTGCATAGACAGGCACTAGTTACAAATATATAGAGATAGATAGATACACGCTTTACATTTTAAGAAGTATTTTAGGTACAGTTGTAAAAATGGTTAACTTTGTAAACTCTCGACAACCTCTAATCCAGAAAACACTACTTATTTAAAATTTTATGCAATGAAATTTTCGAATTTCCAAATGTTCCAGGTGCATTATTTCCGGCGTTACGGTTTGAATAGACGCTTTTCTCTACCTTAACGAATGGTAACGCGAAAATTATTAGAAGCGCATTGATTTAGAGAACGTGAAGTGGCAACATTGTGAAATGGAACTCTTCTGATTTGTTTTGATACAGCTTGTATGCTGCTGATTTAAGATTTGAGATTCATTATTAGATATATTTTTGTTTTAATATTCTAGTAAATTCCCTTTAAAATTAGACTGAGTGTTGGTTTCAGATAGGAATATTACTGAACCACTACATGTAGAAACATTTATATTCATCCGTAGAACTAATTAGATATGCCGCGCCATTATTGTCCATCCGGAAGTGAGCTTTTATACAGCTGTACTATGTGCTGTTATAATTTTTGTGATTGATTAATATTATGATAATTATTTTATTTTCTGCAATTGGTATCTGTATCGGTACTTTCATTATTCTCAGAGGAAATTCTGAATTATATTGAATTGAAAATTAAAATAGCTAATAATTTCTGTGAGCAATTTCAAAAGGAAAGATTTTACGGGACAAAATTATTCAATTGCGCGCATATTTTCATAATGCTAATTAAATATTCCGTGGTTATTCTACGGTTATGTATAACTTAAAGTAAATTAACGCATACATATTCTATTAAACAATACAAGCTCTGTGGTAGAAAATTTACAAGCAATGTGCTTTGCAGAGAAGTCCTTTTAAGATACGTATAATGGCAAAAAGGGATGATGAAATTGCACTTTTGCTCTCGAAACCAACAGACTGAATATAGTGATAATGCAATGCTTCGAGAATATAGTATTCCAGAATGTATATACATTAGTTGAAAGAAAAAACTAAGCTGAGGGGGGAGTGAATTCAGCTTATAGAGCCAAATGATGTAGTCAGAGTGAATCAGACATTTTTAAAAATTATGTCTCTTTGTGTACAACTGCAATTTTTCTCCCTTTTCATGTCTGTTTTCACGGTGGCGTACGTTGTGACGACCCGGATGAGAGGGACAAAATCCCAACGCCTAGCACACCTGTAAATACTCTCAAAGACTACATCAAGGATCATATTCCTCTCTTAGAAACGGAACCAGCTATCGTAGAGAAATGCATGTACACGGTAAGGAAACTTTCTTTTCGTAAATCAAGTGTAAAAATTACAGTAATTGGTAATAATATAATTTCTTTGCACAGAAGCCATGTAAATAACTTTTCACAGAAAGCTTATCACATTTATTTGCTGTTGATGCACTATAATACTACTTATAGATCTTTCAAGAAACTGTTTAAAAAAGATATATAATAAAAAAAAATAGTATAAGATGTAGTACGTATACTTTAGCTATATTTAATATATTTTATTATATTATTACTAATACTTACGCAAATTTATCTTTAATATTTTACGTTTGCTTACTTTTGAGCAATTTTGCCGTTTTTGGATTTCAAAAACTTGCTTTGGTAAAAAATTTTTTACCAAATTCTTTGGTAAAAAATGTTTTGCTTCTGATTTTACTTGAGTCCAAGTCAGACAGATCATATTTATTGCCTCAAGGGCAGTTAATTTTCCTAGGGTATTCCCGGCGGTAATGCTTTGACGAACAGTTTGAAATGCACATATCTAAAAGCTGCAATCTCTTGTGTGGTTGATTTTTCTTTTTTACTTCCTTGTACGAAGTAAAAAGGAAAGTATTGTAATCGCGAAAAACTTCAGGCAGCATATTTCAACGAAAATATCCACTTTGACCGCTTTCGAATGCAATTTAACGATGTTTTTGCGTGATATCTGTACGTAAGGACAGAATAAAAGACTCTTTTCCTCCAAAAAAACTAAAAAACTGCTTTAAAATGAATTCTGAAGAGAATTTTTCGTGGCGTCTGTACGAACGTACGTATCTCGCATAACTCAAAAACGAGTAGCCTCAGAACGTTGAAATTTATATAAGACTACTATAACATGTAGATGTGCACCTCGTATTCTGGTTTCAATCGGCCGCGCCAAACGTATATAAATATATTTATAAATATATCCACTCTGCTACCCGGCTCGGTGATCTCAGTTTCTTTACTCTTATATGTTTGTAAATTGTACATTTTTTGCTTTAAAAATGTTTGAATTGTGTTGTTTTTATCTTCCGGTTAAGGGTTTTATGCCCTTACTAAATCGGTATGCAATATTTTTATAATTATCAACAATTGTAAAATTGTTTAAGTGCCGCTAAGCCTAATTTGATGGCGGCCATTGCTCTTGTTTACATTTGAAACAGCTGAGTAGAGGATTTGTTGCCAATCTAGAGAAACATAGCTTCGCAACAACAAAGATAACGCCTTCATTTATTATTTAAATCATGCTTAATCATTTCTGGAATTTTTTCGAGGAAATAAGCGTTTAAGATTTACTTCGTAATTTTTAATACTGATATTTTAAGTTTTTATGTATTTTTGCCTTGTCTCGAAGTGAAAACTGAATTAATTGAATGAGAATTACTCAATCTTCTGTGAAGAACTGTTTCTTTTTTGTTTTGTTTGCTTTATTTCTTTTATACATCGTTCTAGCTTTATTATAGTATTTGAATAGAACATGTGGCAACGATTAGATAATTCTTTAAATGATATAAATTTTGTGCATTCTGAGTTATAATATGAACTAAATATAATACTGTTAAGTAAACCTAGCGCCTAGAGTGTCGCTATGGTAAACAAAGTGAATTTTAAAGAATGCATTTATTCTATTGGGGTTTAATGCGCTGTCGGCGAAGTAGATTTAATTCAATCTAATAAGTTTAAATAAAATGCAAGAAAAAATGCGTATAATTTAATATTCCGTACAAGGAAGTCATGTGGTGTACGCATCAGATTTTTTAATTTTATTTTTATTTTTCGAATGGTTAGTTGCAGTTGGGCGGTAAGAGGAGCGCAATTCACCGCCTTCCCAGCCAAACCTATATTCTGCCTTTAGGCTCACAAAGGCCAGCCCAGTTAACAACAAACGAGATACCAGCGATCCGGCTGTGCCCAAAACATGTTAATCCCTAATTAAATTGCAAATAAATAATTAATCTTAAATTAAACTTCCGGAAAACCAGGCCTAGATGCAGCTAGGTGGGTATATTTAATCCAAGAAAAGATACATTTTACGGTTTTTTCTCCTCATTATGTTCTCCATTTTATAGGATTATTCTATAAAATTGTCCACGGGTATCTTTATTTTTTTTTACTCGCTTGATACCATAAGGGCAAAATTTTAACACTTTTGAAACATTTGAGCTTCTGGAACTTTCTTGTCTGTAGAAATTGCATCTTTTCTCAGCATTTGCACGAAATGAAATAAAATAATACCTCGCATAGTGCGACTTCTCTATATTACTAAATCTAAAGTACAGTTACTAATTTAAGTAATAAATTTTAGTCGGTACTGATTGATTCAGTACTATGAGGTGCGAAAAGATTTTGCATCAAAATAATACAACTTAAATGTTTTCTCTAAAATATATACTGCCAAAATGAGCAGTGCTGATTGGTCATGCAAAAAACATGGCAGACTCACAGAGCGAACTTCAGTCTCTACGATATTTATATCTCATGATCATTTGTCGTTCTCATCATCTGATCCACTCCATCGGATTCGGTATTTTTTAAATTTTTATTTATAATTCTTTCCTAACCCATTTATAATGAATGAGAAAAGAAAATCTGGTACTAGTTGAGATAAACCAACAAGCGCAAATTATATAATTTACAAGAAAAGATAAAAAATATTAAACTTCATGAGGATAGTGCATCATATGCCAAGATTTCGAGACAGAAAAAAATTAATGAGTCTTCATTTCAAAAGATTATGAAGAAAAAAGATAAAGAGAAATATAAAAAGTATGGAATGGTTACAAACTCTTTCGCTTCCAAGCAATTTATAAGACAAAGAAATTATTTGATGTTAAATATGGAAAGACTTCTTTCACTTTGGAATGAGGACTGTACTAAAAAGGAATTCCCTTAAATCAGCTAGAAATTCAAGTAAAATCATCAAGTGTTTTTTTCTACACACACACACACGAAAAAAGAAAAAAAAAAGTCTGAAAACAAAACTGATGAATATTTCCAAGTAAGTCGCAGGTTGTTCTTTCGCTTTTGAAAAACGCAGAGGGATTCATAATGTTCGCATTGTGGGTGAAAGCGCAAGTGCAGATAAAAAAGCAGCGCCGAAATTTCCAGAAGAAATAAAACAAGTTATTGAAGAAGGCTACCTTAATGAAGAAATTTTTAACGTTGATGAGATTGGGTTATAGTGGAAGAAGCTGACTTCTGGAACTTATTTATTAAAAAAAGAGCAATCTCACCAATGCTATAAAGCATCAAAAGATCGAATTACCTTTTTGCTAGATGGAAATGCGCCTCGGAATGTCGATTTGCAGCCCATGCTCGTGTATTGCGCCAAAAACCCTCACCCTTAGAAGGGGTGTGCTAAAAACTCATTTCCTGTGTTTTGGCATTCTAATAAAAAAAAGTCGGGTTTACTAAGGCAGGGTTTGAAAGTTGGTTTAAAAATTATTTTTGTCTCTTCGTTAGAAGTTACTGTGAAAAACAAGACATAGCCTCTAAAGCATTATTATTATTAGATAATACGCTAGGTCATCCTACTGGACTTTCTAATCTTTGTTAATGTCAGAATTCATTTTTCTCCCAAATACTCCACCAGTGCTGCAACCCATGGATGAAGGAGTTATTTCAACATTTAAGGCTTTTTTATTTGAAAAAGACGCTTTCGCAGGCAATCGATGCAACCTCAGGTGAAATGCCCCATCTTTGATCTCATTTGGGAAAAATTACAATATTCGAAATGCTATTGAAAATATCGGACATGAATAGAATGAAGCGAGTGAAAATAATACGAGAAGCTGGTAGAAATAGATTTTAACTTTGCAGAGTCATTAGGTTATTTTGAAGCAGGAGTACATGAAAAATGACTTATCGAATGCCCGTCTGGACTTATCGAATGCCCGTCTGGACTTATCGAATGCCCGCCGAGTGCTCTACCGTTACACCATGAAGTCATGCAGAAAGGAGGGAGAAAATACCATATAGCCTTACTGCGCTAATGATTTTTGCGTCTTTTGGTTTTCAAATGTATATAATTCTAGCAGAAGTCGTCAGACTCGGACATAATTTAGGCTTTGACTCATTGGATGCTGCCAATATCATGGAATGTATTCAAACGGAATCTCAACCTCTTGATGAATCTCTCATTAACATAGAAGAAGAAAGGGTTTATCAAGAAGAAAGTGAAATTGAAGAAACTGTGCAAGCGGAAAACAACTTCACATTAAAAATCTAAATGAATCATTAACTGCTATTGGAAAAGCGTATGAATGGATTAAACAAAGTGATCCGACTGAAAAAAGGAGCCTTGAAAGAAGGCGAAGAATCTTTGTTATCGAATATGAACAAGGACAAGAAAGCAAAAAATTTTGACTATTTTCTGATTAAAAAATAATGTTTTATTTATTTATTTATTTATTTATTATCATTTGCTAAACAAACAATAAAAGTCCTCTATTACGTATTGATTTTTTACCCTTTCATTATTTTCCATTAATTTTAGGTAAGTACCTGAATATTTTTGTTTTAACAGACTTTGATACGAACAATTGACTAATTTTCCCATAGAAATAATATTTCACACAGTGCGAATTCATTTAATGCGGTACGTTAGAATTAACATTTAGCAGCACTAAGCGAGGTATTCCTGTAGAGAGGCAGTCTTCCCTTTTGCCTAATTTAATTTCATTGATCCTGCTTAAAGAACGGACTCCTGCAGGAATGAGGTGGAAAAAGAAACCATTTTTATGAATATTGAAATGACTTTCAGCTGATATTCATTTATTCCAATTCTTGAGAAAGATAACCTCTAGTCTTCAACAATAGCAGGGACAATAGATTCAGCTATGACATCTTCAGATTCTTCGCTTATGACATGGCATGAGATTTAAGGCCATGAGGCAGTTTAAATTAGTGCAGTCATCCAGCTGAAAACAAGCATTTTTCGTATTCAATTGCAATGCTATTCCTTTTCTTTTTTGCGTTAGCATGGACCTATTCATTTGAATATTTGGATGAATAGTACTGAATGAAAAACTTTTGACAAACAATATGTCCTCAACTTCAGACAACTCTTCGCCGTGGACACGTGCCATCTTTTAAAGGGGTCTCCTTAAGCTACTTCTCTTTCCCCCTCTTTGTCAGAAATGATTGTTTCCTTGTGTTTCCATAAGTATATCCAGTTCCCCGCCACCACAATCCTTTTTTTAATCATGTATCACAGTCAAATTCTTTTAAAATTTCGGTTGTTGTCTTATAATGAATGTGCATTTCATTTTCTAGGCATTTTATTTGAAAATAAGGTTTCAGAAAAAAACGCATAGAAGAAGTAGTAGTTGAATTAAATACATTTAAGAAGTGTCACAATGAAAAGTCTATCAGCAAACAAATCTGACTGGTCAGCTGATTCCGTCTATTTTTCATACAGAGTCTCGTTCTCTTTGAGAGCATAAACTAACGAGCTCTAAAAGACCGTATGAGGAATTATTCACAGGTGTTTAATAACAATAGAAAGTCAAAAGAAGGGTGTAAAGAACCCTTTATTCAATCAATATAGTTGCACAGACGGCCCCATTCGGCTTCAAGAAAGCCAAAATTTCTAGCTTAACGTTAATGGCTCACAGGATAATTTAACGCGCAGGAAGGCTCTGACTCGTAGAAGTCGGCAGAAACAAGCTTAATGGTTAGAAACACTCAACGCCACAGAATCAAATCGCTAGTAATTCAATGAAGCAAAGTGATCTTCAAACGGACATAACATGCTATAAAATCACCTTCCAAAACCTGCCTTAAATAGCACTTCTATCTACCTCATTTGGCGACACGCGAGCTAGCTTATTAATATTCTCGCAGGAAAGCGGGGGACAACAAGACTGAAAGGAAAGTTGCTTTAACTAAAAATTAAATGTTAATAAGATTAAATTAATCTCCACAATCACTCCAGGCGACTTACTTTCCATCCACTAATCGGATTTCTACTCCTCTACAGATCTGAGATATCCTTTCTATTCATAACTCTAAGGGCAGTTTCCAGATACCCCCACCAGACTACTGACAGAGCGATTAAGCCCGCTAAATGCTGGGAATTTTACCCGAGTTCGATCTTAGGCTAACGGGCTGGTTGTGTGGTTGGTTTACATGGGTTTTCTCAAACTGTAACGTAAATGTGAGTCAATTTCCTTCAGAAAGTCTCCACGAAGACATCTCTGCCCTTAGACAGAGAGCCCTTGTATGCTTTGTTGTATTCAAGTAACCTAACCTAGTTTAAAATAACTAGATACTCTGGATAAAAAGAAGAAAGTTTCGGAAAAAATATTTGAGGTGCAAAACAGAGGTTGGGAAAGGAGTTGTGGTTTTGATTTGGTCTGGTTTATTTGATTATGGCTAAACACTCGAGGGCTATCTGCCTAAACATAGGAACTCCATCATGGAGGACTTTCTAAGGAAAACTATTTCGTATACACAAATAGATACTATGTTCTTATGACTTGTATACACGAAGGAGTTCGGGAAATTTTTACATATAGCCAAAGTTATACATTGCGCAAATGAAATATTTTACCATTAATAGGAACAGAAATTAATCGCGACAGATGTTAGACGCTGTATAAATGCAAAACATGAATGAACGAAGATGTGAATGATGCTTCACTGCATCAACTACAAACTTTTCTAAACTATTCTGGAGATACTTTTAACCGTCTCCCTCTTCAAAATAAAGTAATTTTGTTCAGACGACTTGGTTTCCTCGTGATAAAAGTTATGTGCCAGTAATATATATTAGTAAAAAACAGAGCGGGAATAAAAGAAAGGAAAGAAGATAGGAATAAATTTACGAGATAAGGCGCATTGACTTTTTTCAGGATTAATTTTAATAATACTTTTCATTTTCCAAAAATATTTAATCCTTTTCATTTATTTCAGTGTTAAATAAAGATTGCGGTTTGATAATTATTAATGTTTCAGGTAACATACATTTCTGAGATTTTTTACTTTCACTCTTGGAATTATAACACTTTTCAAAGACGAAAAATTTTGAACGTTTGAAAGTACTGTAACGTTAACGATATTTTATAAAGACCCAAGAGCGTAGCTAGAGTGGAGCAAGGGAGGACATTTGTCCCCGGACGCAGCATCAAGTGGCCGCCAAGTGGATATTACGATTTTTTTGAATGAATTGTTTTCCAAGCTTAGCAAAGAAGAGGAGCAAGAGATCTTCAATTGTCCCCGGGTGCTAAAATCCGTAGATACAGCTATGTAAAGACCTACTTTAATTTATTTTCCAAATTTTCAAAAGCCTTTGAATAAATTTTCACGTCAAAGTAATTCTTTCAGAATAAATTAACAAATCTTATAGCATTTTGAATTTTTTTAATAAACTTTAATAATTGTATGAGCTAGATGTTGCCTACATTTGGTTGAATTTCTATGACCCTTGTTCTTCACATATAGCAATTCGCAACTGGTCACTAAGAGCAAGTTTTTCTGTCTGGAAGTTGTGATTTATCTTTCTTGTATAACAGTAACATCAGATCAAGTCCTCAAATTTTATTATGGTCAAGAGGCAAGGGTCGACCATAATTAAGCATCTTATATGTGACAGTATGAAAATTTACCCCGCTCCGTCCTAATTTTTCGAAGACGGATCCGAGAATCCACTTTCTCTTTTGTCTTTCAGTCAACATTTTGTTAGTCAACATGTTAAGGTTCATAGTAATCTATTCAATATATTAAGGTCTGTTTTTTCCCACAGCATGATAATAAAAGTTTGCCTTTACTGTAATTATTCTCTTCCCCCCGGCGCCCAAGTAAAAAGGATGTTAGGCTTTTAAACATAAGTCAGTAGCTAATTGCGATAGAGATAAATCCTTGTAAAAGCTCAAAGCTTACAAATTTTGAATTTAATCAGGTGAATGAGGAAAATGTAATGCAAGTGAAAGCAAAAAATGAAACAATTTCATGCTGATTGAATTATTTAATTACAGTGAATTGGACAAGGTCTATCTGTAAAAGACATCTGCGAGGAATACTTTCCAAGCAATACTGTCTCAGATTTATTTTCCACCTGGAAACATCCACGCAAACGCCCATCAGGATTTGAAGCCGGAAACGAACTACCATTGGTTAGCGGTCTACTTTGAAGACGGGAACGAACTATCATTGTTTTAGTCCACTATTTCGCCAATTTCATATTCAAAATTTGATACTGCCATATATTTTTTTTCTTTAACCATGAAAATCCAAGATTATTTTCGGAACTGGCAGTCTAATAACGTTTTTAGTGACAAAGATAGAGTGAATATTATAGAGATTTAGTTACACCACCCATAAATGTCATCGACTCAATCTGTCTGACAAATTCAGAATTTGTTGAGTATAAATTACATATATATGCACACACTTTTTTAGGTACTTATACTTCGAAATTCTGTTGCAGGTAACACCTGATGAGATCTTTATCATTGATACATTGCCAGAGCATAAAAATATTGTCATCGGTGCTGGTTTCTCAGGTAAGTTTGCAGTACGACTTCAAAAGGATTTTTGTTTCATATATAAAAGGTACTACACATAAAAGCGTATTTCAGCGTATTAGTAAAATTTTTCATTTGATGATTAAAAAATACTTTTAATGCTGTCTAAAGTGCAGAATATATTTTACTTGAACCATTTTTCCCTTTTAATATGGAAACTTAACTTTTTTTGCACAGCCCTTCTCCGCAAAAATTATTATCTATTGTAGAATTAATAATCAATTTAATTTAAGTGTGCCCACTCAATAAAATGTATTATATTGCTAATTTATATCCTTATCTTTACTAAACAGATTTACCATTAAATCTTCCCTTCCATTTTCTTTCCTGCTTTCTTTCTTCCATTTTCCTTGGGCCATTTCTGCTAAATTGTGTAGTTCTATTAGAGCCTCCCAAGCATCCATACTTTTCAATTGCAAAACCTATACTAAATTACTTAACTATTTAAGCAGGCCCGTCAGCTTCTCAGCGGTAAAAGCCCTGAATAAATGGATAATAATGAATAAAAGAAATTTCTTTACTGAGTTTATTGTATGAATTTTTTAGTGTCGCTGTAACTAGTAAAGTGAAATTTTTATAACCTTAAGGTATTTTTTACCTTCTTTCTGAATGCCTTCGTGGTGTAAAGGTAGCACACTCGGCGCATATTCGAGAGGTCCAGGTTCGAGTCCCGGTGAGGGCATTGCTCGTTTTTCATGCACTCCTGCTTAAAAAAAAAAAAAAAAAAAAAAGAATCCTAATAATTCTTTACATATTAAGAGTAAGGCATTGGTATTTTAGCGTATAGTTTTAGCAGAATTGTGTGCATTGGTGCTAATGCAGAATAAATCGAGACATTACGATAAATTAAATATTTTTGGAATATAGTTTCATTGCATAGATATTGCGTTTATTTACACCTTTATTTTACATTATTTTTCCGTCTGTGTCTTTCCGCGTAGCTCTACTCTTAAACACCATAAAATTGTAAGATATAGAATAGCCCTATATTCATGTCAGACATAGAATAGGTCTAACGTGCTTCGCCATAGAGACAGATTCTTAAAAGGTATCCGTGAATAAAAAATGGCTGAGAATCGCTGTTAGGAGAGGAGGTATTAAACCAATATGACATTTTAAAATAAATAGTGTTTATTAATTTAAATATTATCTACGTAAAAAGTACACATTAAATTTTATTTTATTATTTAATCATATATGGCACCTTCATATCTCCAACCAAGCGTTCATAATTTGGTATATAGTCAAAGATAATGATAATAAATCTTTAGTACAGGAATCGGTAAGTAGGAAAAGATATACAGTCTTCGGAAACTTTAAATTTCACGGAAGTATTTATATCCAAAATAAGATAATTATATTTCGCTACATTTGGTGATATCTGGATAATTTTCCCGACTGATATATTTCTAAAAATCGTCCTCGAGCTCTCTGGTTTGTAAGGTTAGAGCAGTTTGTTGACTTATAATTAAATTTTTAGCGCGTCTTCTTTCTTTTTTCTTTAGCCCAAAAGGACGTTAGCCCAGAAGAGTTATTAGTCTCGAAACGGCATTTGGCGTAGATAACACTTTTTTAATTTTTGCCACCAAATACTATCATCCTGTATTATATTTAAAGAAATTAAATAATAAAGAAACTGCGTGAATGTATGGATGTTTCTCCCATTGTGAAAAAAAGTCCTACCAAGAGCGGTAATTCAAAATTTGATCCAAAATTCGTAAACATAATTCAAAACGTTATATAATAATATTCGTGCAAAAACGTTGGTACCTAGAGCCATCAAGTTTCGACGGGTGGAGGATTACGTAATTCAAAATTCAAAGTGAGCAGTGGCCCAAGCATAGGCACCTGGAAGCCTGAATTCTGAGTTTCGAACTTGTTTTATTGTCTGTTTCATATTTTGTAAAACTTTAGCGAATTTCTGATTCAGAAACTCAACAATTTCAAAGTGAGGAGTGGCAATGGCAACACAATATTCCAGAATGAAATATTTTTATCTTCAGCTCACGAAACTGTTTATCGAAATTCTCAAAATATGTTGTTTTCAAATAGTTTATTGTGTATTTCATATTTTGTAAATCTTTAATGAATTTTTTATTAATAAACTCAATGATTTTAAAGCGAGCAGTGGTAACACTGTACGGAAAAAAAAAAAATTATCTCCAGGGCGCGATATTGTCTATCGGTAATTTTAAAGGTATGCTGTTTTTAAATACCTTTAGCTCAAAGGGACATTAGCCCAAATGCTCTTGAAACGTACATGTGTATGTAAATGAAAAAAACACCCCTTTAGGCGTAGCAATAAAATCTGAAAGCTTTAAGTTTTTAGTCCAAAAGGATTTCAGTCCCGAAGGACTATTGCTTTCGTTTTGGCATTTTGCGTCGGACTCATAAACGTCGGTTCACATTTCAAACTGTTGCCACAAAATGTTAGAGTCCTGCATTATATTTGAAGAAGAAATTAAATAATGAAAAATCTGCATAAATGATTGTCTATTTCTCGCATTGTGATAAATAAAACAATGGTACATAGAGCCATCGAATTTTGAATGACGAAATCCTACTGCGAATATGGGCATCTGAAATCCCAAAATTTGGAATTTGTTTTTATTATAGATTTATATTTTGTAAAACTTTAACGAATTTTTGATTTACAAACTCAATGCTTTAAAAGCGAGAAATGGCAACGTTATATAGAAAAAAAAATACTTTTATCTCCAGCTCGCGAGACTGTGTATATCGGAAATTCTAAAGATATGCTTAATTTAACATTATTTTGCGATATTGCTCTTGAACTGAATTTTATGGTTTAAGTGCAAAGAAACATGATATTTAATAAATAAAGGTAACACTCAAAACGTTAAAAAAAACGCCCCTTTGGACGTAATTTAAAAATCTGAAAAATTTCAGTTTTCTTTTTTTTTTTTTTTTTTTTTTTTTTTTTTTTTTTTTTTTTTTAATATATGTGTTTCACATTTAAATTCCTTTTAAAAAGGATATAGCAGATGCTGCGTAAAAAATTTAACTTTTTCGTAATGATGAAAACTGACCTCAGAGTTTTCAGTCACCTTCTTAATTTCTACAATGTAATAATTATAATATTGATATTTTTGTAGATGATCGGATTTGGGGGAAGTGATTCAAACTGTTTTGTTGTTGATCTTTTATTAGCATAATAAATTTTGTTTTACATGCATTAATGATAGTGACCGTTCCAATTATTATGATGTTTTTTCTTGCAATTCTAAATCTAAATCTCTTAATTTCAATGTAAAATATGTAAATGCTAAATCACAAAGCCATGGTGTATAGTTTAACTATGTACATTCTTTATCTTGCTCTTCATGAAAATTTTTTATCACAGTTAATAACCGTGAATTTATTCCTGAAATATACTTCTACGTAGACACCGTTTTCTTCGTAACAATAATTCTAAATGTCTTTCATTAAGATGCAAATGGAAGAGACACCGTTCGAGGAAACTTCCTGGAATGGAATTAGTAATTCTGAACATTATGTCCTTTTCTTTTTTTAATATTTTTCTGTCTAACGTTTTTTGTAATTATGCAATGATAACTCAGAAGATTTGAGAATTCGTCACCATTTTGGCACAGAGCTAGAAATATGTGGGCCTATCGCTACTCCTATACCGTCTATTTTTATTGAAACTACTTTTAAAATTAATTTTGAAAAGATACAATTTCAAAATTAGAAAGGTTTCAAAAAGAGTTGAATATATTTATGCATCTAGTCCTTTCTGTCAAACAAATCATATCTGACAATCCTTCTTTAGGTGGCAGTTCTTTTTGCATCTCTTTAAAAACCACACGAATAAAATAAGCAATTGGCTGTGCCACTTGTGTCGATTCATCAAGTTGAAGGAGGATCAAGAATATCTATTAATATCGTTATGTAACTGTTTTCTTATATTTTCATTCATTTTCTCAATATGCCATATCGTAGTATTTCGAGTCAATTGTAGCTCTTTAATTGCAACAATAATTTGTTTTGATTTTAAAATCTTTAAAATTGAAACTGAGTTTTCCAAAAATTTTCTCTTATAACTTCTAGGTCAAAAAACGATTTATATTTTTTGCTAAACATATGGCTTACTTTGAATGATGTAATCGTCACTCCACATGCTTAGATTCTAGGCAAACAGATTTACAAAATTTTGTCGCATTTGTTGAGTTAATTTTATTAGTGAAGAATTGTTGAACATGTATTATGTTATTTTGTAACTTGTCTGACAGAAACGTTAGAATAAGTCCACGAATTTTATTATGGCAAGGAGCGCAGAACTGTAACTGCCGTTGGCATGGGCCTTGAGTTCTTTATGGGGATATGTGCAATTTAGCTTGTAGAGACATTAGGATTTTTTCGAAGCAGGAGAGATGAAAAATGAGCAATGCCCTCACCGGGTCTCGAACGAATTCGCGTCGAGCGTGCTGACCACTACACCACGAAGACAAGCTAAGGAGGCGAGAGAAATACCTTATATACTCCCCCTTTTAAAGCGCGACTGGAGTTTTAGGGGACCATATCGCCAAATCCTGGCAGTGAAGAATCATCATTCGCCACCTTTTAGTTCGGGCGACATTGTAGAGACATTAGGATTTCTTCGAAGCAAGGCAGATGAAAAACAAGCAATGCCCTCGCCGGGACTCGAACCACGGACCTCTGGAATTCGCGTTGAGCGTGCTAACCACTATACCACGAAGACATGCTAAGAAGGCGGGAGAAATACCATATAAGCTCACCTCTGTCCCAATTTTGAAGGAAACTCTCACAGGAGACAGATCCAAGGGTCTCCAACCTCTCTCCTCCTGCTGCCAAACCACTCGAGAGAACTTTCGTCTCGCCGCGTATTTAGGTGCTCCTATGCCACAAAGAATCTACGATCTTGCAAACATCTAACTTTTTCCAGCTTTCGAACCTGGGCCGAAAGATACAGCAGACAGTATCACTAATCACTGTACCTATCAGAGCGGTTGTTGATCATTTTGCATTAGCAACAACACATTTTGTTGACTTAAATGGTTACTGAGAATAAACAATAGAATTTTAAGACTTCCACGGTAAAACTTTGTAAACTTTTTCGGGAATCGAAGTTCTGAGATCTCCTTGGCTAAATTTTTCCACTATTTCCTAGCCATTTGTGAAAGCTCCATGTGAAATGAAATCGGCCTTAGAGAAAAGCATTCATTAAAGATGTCGCCCTCGCTGAGTACCTTTGCCGGTGGCTGATACGTAATTTGTATTATATTATGATTTTGGGTATGTTCATAACTCAGTTCTTCATTAGAAAGAGCATATCTGTTTTTGCTGGCTATGTTTCCTCTCATTTTTCTCATAATAGAGCTGTGCAAAAATGCATTGATTAGGGTTTGGATCTCCACGACCGTTAAGTATATTTCTTAATTTCTTTCGCAACATAAAATTTGCGCATGAATTGAAAGATAATTATGGGAAGGGAAGGTGTCAAATAACAAAGCTATTAAAATAGAAAGTGTGTTTCGTAAATGAAACCTTTCGAATATCAAAATCGAACAACATACCTGCAACGTAGAACTTGCAATAATTAATCAATAAAGTCTAAAATACTCTGATAATCAGTTTGATTTTAGTCATCTATTTAGATGCCTTTTTAAGAGATGTGGATAAAATTCCTTTATAGTAGGACAAAAAATTTCACAAATTTACATATCTAACTGCCTTAAGCTGTTTTTTCGCATGCTTAAGACAGTCAAATGTAACATCATAATTTTTCCATGTAATTGTTAAAAAAAACGGGGGTTAAAAAATAAAGTAATCAAAATCGTATTCTACCTTTATTTCTTTTGCTTTGAAGGGCCGAATTAAGTTTCTGTTAGTTTTATAATGATTTTTCCAAACTGATAACGAAATTTTGTTATTTAGGAACTGGTTTCAAAACTTCTCCGACCGTCGGAAGGTTACTGAGTGAAATGGCAGTTGGGATAAAACCTTTCTTAGACGTCACTCCTTTCCGATTATCCAGATTCGAATCCCAAGCAGGGCAATAAAGATTTCAAGGATACCACATATTTAGAGAAGAGGATACTGATCTATTCGATAATTTCATTTCTGAAAAATTTGTCTGAACGTGGCTTTATTTGATGTCAATTTATAGAAAATTAATAGAAAAATTTCATAAAGAGATATTGTAATCATATTTATCTAAGCAATTTTTTTCTTTAGGTATCATTGTTGCATTTATAATATATGCTGCATACATTAATTATTTGTAAATTTGACTTAGACTAAAAATATTAATACAATCTCTTGATATGCTTCATTTACTGGAATACCTGTCTTTTTCATGAAAAGAACGGAAAATTGTTTTTAACTTGATTTTATACTTGATGCATCGCAACAACGTCTTTAACCTGTCTCAAGGATTACAGGTGAAACCATCGCGGCCAAAACACCATGAACGAAACGTCGCGGAGAAAACAACGCAAGGAGAAAATATTATCGGACAGTCCACTCACAAATCATTATGCGATTATACATTTGCAACTTTCAAAACCTGAAAAGCATATTGTCTCCGATGTTATCGTCATACTTTTATTTGTAGGTGTTTTATTTTTTACCAGCTATCACGGTACAGTGGTTGGGAAGTCTACTACGATATTAAAAGGACGGTGTTCGAATCCCGAAGAAGACATGGATGTAAATTGTCCGTCCCTTCATAGGAGGTAACGAAGACCGCCTGTTAGGTGCCTCCGTAATAAAATGGCCACCGCGTCCGGTCTCAGTAGTGGCGAAAGCCTTCATTTTTTTCAGTGAAAACGGTCTCTAGAACTTGATTAGTAATTTTCTGAAATTCTAGGAAAGTGCTTACTCAGTCATATCTCAATTATATCTATATATAAAGTCAATATAAATGCTTTTTGTCTGGAAGTAGTTGAATTTCTTTAAACAATTAAAGCTGCACTAATTTCTGTTTTTTAATTCGCGTATAGACATTTCCATGTTTATTATTTTATTATTATTATTATTTTTAATGAATCTGAGAATTTACAAAACACGAGAATTTGAAAAAGGATCCAAAATATTGCTAACCCTTTAACCTGATAGCATTAGGGATTTCCAGTGATATTTTAAAGTGTTTGGAGTTTTTTTTACAGCAATGGAAGAAACATTACCTCTTACGTCTTATGCGTATTCTCCATAAGAGCTTTGGCCCGATGAAACATAAGCAGACATTTGAACTGTTTGAATTTATATGGTTGAGAGTTGCATTATTTTATTTCCTGTGCATAAGCACATGCTAAAAATATTTGGATGAATTTCTCATAGTTTCTTAAATAATTCAAGCATAGACACACATGATCTATTATCCTGCTGAAAGACGTTACATGAAAGGAAGAACATCATCTGCAACGTTTTTTACGTTTGTTATCGGATCCCGGTAAACATTTTTTTTTTTTTTTTTTTTTTTTCAATTTGAAAACTTAGATGGTATCGTAGCTATTTACATTTGTTGCGTGGTAAGAAACCTGTGAAACCGGTAACAGCTCACAGTTGCTTTTAAGCATTATTCCGTGCAGTTGCATTTAGCATGCCCAAACGTACAGAGTTTCAAACAGAGCAAATTGTTAGAGCTTCGGATGTTGAATGCTACTGTGATCAAAGTAGCAAATCTACTGTACTTTATTGGAAAATAAGACCCCTTCTTCTCATTCTACAATAAAGTTTAAAAACTGGAAATAGAGGGGAATATTTGTTTTGTCTTATAGTAAATTCTAAGAAAGATAATCATAACTCCTCCCCTCCCTTTCCTTCAGAATTTTTCTAAGACAATACCACTGTCTTAATGGTATTAGTAATATTGTTACATATTTATATTCCGGCGTATGAATGATCAGTATAATAGGTGCTGGCCAAAACTGAAATCGCTCAACTAGAGTAGCTATCATAAGTGGCGTTGTTATGCAGTAAAGTTCTTCCTCTCATTCTATAATTTCTTTTATCAAAATACACGATTATAAGACTTGAGAAAATTTTAGAATAAAAATATAGTAAAAAAGGGGGTGTTATTTTCGAGTAAGAGTATTATATCCATGCATTAAATTGGGTAAAATATATCCATGCATTAAATTACGTGCTTCCATATCCTGAATACAAAAGTAACGAGCAAAGAGATCAAATAGCACGTGATTTATGGTAAAACTGCAATTTTAATGCCAATGATTAATAAAATTAATACCGCAAGGAAGACAGAATGATGCAACATTCATAAAACTTGGATTGCCGATCACTGAAGACTATCCTTTGCTATAATGACTTAAGCTGTGCACTGTTTCCAACCAATAGCTAAGTTTAACTGGGAAGAATATCAGCTCAAGCTTTTGAGCCCTTTGCTGACAACGAAAGGTGGTGGAATAAGCTCCACCATCTTTACCAGTCATGGGTAAAAATGTAACCCATGATTGGTAACCCCCACCAGTCATGGGTTTACGTAGTCAAATCATAACATTCATCTTATTATTATGCAAGGCCATGCCTTTACCATGTACTATAAGCATGTTGAGTAACTAAGCCCATCCTATGGTGCAATATTCCTTCCCGCAGGCTCGTGAGATAGTTTGTCTACAGTAGCTTCCTCAGTTGCCAAACTTCAACATTAGAGAGCCCTGGTTGTCAGTTTTAGAAAATGATTTTCGACTACACTATGCATCTCCAATATCTTCTTGGAACTTGTGCAGGGCTTTTAGGAAGAATGGAATAACATCCCATTATACAATATGGAAGACTTAGTTTCTCCATTCTGAGGAGAATTCCGGCAATCTTAAACACAAAAGGCAAAGAATTAATTCTTTTACAGAATTAATTCTGTTTGTGTATTTTTGCCTAACTCTTGTTAATGACAATATATAAAAGATTATTTACATGCTGGAATAATAATATGCATCAGATTAGGCAATGTTTTTCATTCACAGAAGTTTCAGTTTTGATGCTCTTTTAATTATGTAAGTTTTAATATGAAATTGAGTGGGTAGTTTGAGCTTCCCAGTTGGCAAATCACCTGCTGAAATTTAATGTTTTACAGATATAACTTTTAAGGTCGCCAACGATTGAAAATGGCTTCTAATAACTAAATTTAAATAATCTAACAATTAAATTTTGGCTAAAAAGTATATGATAATATTTCGGCCAATCTATGACAGTAATTTTTGAGATTCCAAACCTCTTTTTTATTGAGTCATATGCATATCATAAGCCTTAACTTATTCAAAAATTCAGTCATTGCCATTTGATAACCTTCAAACAGTTTAAAACAAAAAGACATGAGAATTCATCTGAGATAAAAGATCTAAAAATAGTTCACCAGAAATTAGAATTTCTGTAGTAAAAAAGGTAGAAGAGTTACCATTAAAATTAAGCACAGATTAACAATAACTGTCTAATAAGGTGTAAAACCTTGATAGCTTGAACTTCTCTCAAATACGTATATATATAATATTTGTAAAACAGGCAAATCGACAACCTTGTATTCGGCGTAGATTTTGTAAAATTCCAATCGATTCTACAACAAACAAAATCTACGTCAAACAAAATTCTACAGCAAATAAAACCTTCAAAACAAAATCTACGAATACAAGGTTGTCGATGGCGTGTTTATCTTGCGTCTTGATAAAATATCTGTCTTTCAAATAATAAATTTATAATAGCCCTTTAACTCCCGTCTTCATTCTAAAAATAATAATAACATTTCTGGACTGCGTCATCAATCTATGCCACAAAGTCTTAATTTAACTAAGTAGTTTTAATTTTCTACGTAACGCTGATGACGTAGTAATTGGGAGCATAAGCTCTGAGAACTGAAACCTTTTTAACTCAAACCAAAACCTTCCTCTTCGTGAGCTTCCATATTGGATAACGACTCACTTTGGTCTTTCTTTATATAGTATACTGCTTGGACGTAATTTCGCTGTGCTCGCTTCCTATCGCAACAGTATAAAAAATGTAAATGTTCTTGAATAGGCACGATTGAATTGTGTTAAAAAATGCCAGTTTAAATAAAAATAGAATTAAAACTACCTCGACTTCCTAATTTCTTATTCATTATGGATTGGTATTTCAATATTCTTTTCTTCAATATGGATTTATATTTCTACGTCTCTGTGTTCCGACACCAATACTTCTTTGAAATTTGCCTTTTAATCGCCAATAGCGAACTTTGTGATGGATTTGAAAGCCAATAGCAAATTTTCTCCCGATATTTTAAAATTCCATGAAATCTTTAAAGAGTTGCACCTCCAAATTTACTTAGATATTTTCAGTTTCGTATTCATATTGATTTAGCAACCAAACTTTTTTTATTTTTGTTTACTTCCAAATGAGAAAAAGCCATTTGCAGCTATTTTGATATTGCTTTATTTCCAATTTCTCCAAATTGTAACATATTTGGAATTGCTCCACAAAAGCTCAGCTCTGGTCGGTGGTACTTCAATCAAGGTAATCGCTGAATCATTGCAAACGAGGGCCCGACACAAGTCATGGATTTCCTTGCATACAGCCCTCTTTTATGCAATCTGTCACTCACGCTTGTGTAGCTTCAGGAACTCTCTTGTAATATGTCAATTGTCTATGTCAAATGACGGTCCTTAGAGTCCGTTGTAGCACTGCAGAGTGGTCCCCCTTTTTCCTGAAGAAGTTCGTCCTCAAAATCAACAGAGTTTTGTTTAAAATCTGCTCCAAAAAGAAGGTTGAGTAAAGGAAGTATTGCAATCGCGAAAAATTTCAGTTGTCGGATTTTAAGGGAAATATCCATTTTCACCTCTCCCGAATCCATTTTGATTTTTTTTTTTTTTTTTTTTTCTCGTTACGTCTGTATTCACGTACCTATGTATCTCGCATAACTCAAAATCGATAATAACATCAGATCAAGTATCTGAACTTAGAGAAAACCCACGAAATTCATCGTGGCAAAGGAGTCAAGATAGCGTCTATCTTTGGCAAGAGTCTTTGACACCATACGGATGAGAGTACGACTTTGACCAATTCCGCCCCCAAATTTGATGGAGAGCATCTCGAGGTAACGAATCCGAGGGTCTCCCATCGGACCTTCCCCTACCATTAGTCTCTGGAGAGGACTTTCGGCTGGCCGCATATTTAGATTGTCCCCATGCTTCACAGACACTGTATATTTACAAATATCCATGCCATTTCTGGGATTCGAACCTTGACGCAGTCAGCGTCGCTAACCACTATCCCAGTTGCCGCGTGCTTAATTTAATACGTCTATAAAGTCATGTGGTGTCTTCATTATATATGT